AAAAAATGAATTAGGTCTTGATCATGTCCCAATCTAGATTTATTGTTATTTGTTTGGAGACTGCTCGGTAACAAGGGTGCTTGGAAACTAGTTAGAGTTTGAAAATCTAGAATAAATCATGTATATGGAATATTAGGTTGATTTTTGGATATGTTAGATCCTTTTGAGTCTAGTTTCATGTGAAACTATAATTTTTTCATTTTACCCTATATTTTAGGATTTATAGTACAAAGAGTGTGAACTATGAAGGGGTCAAGTACCCATAAAGAAATGGCAGCAACTCCGATTTTTTATAAAATCACCATGAGTTGTGTATTTCGTACCTAGACTTGATTTTTGGATATATTAGTGCCCTATGAGTCTAGTTTCATGTGAAACTAGATTTGCATCATTTGAATCTGTATGTTGGGACTTATGGTAGAAAGAGTGAAAAGGGGTCAAGTACCCATAAATAAATAAGTTAACTCTAAAGTCATATTTTGTACCTTGAGCATATTTAGAAGTTTGATCATGATAAAATGACTTATAAAAGTATATGTGTATGTGTTTATAGACGTCGAGGATCGTGAGGTGCAAGACACGACGCATTGATAAACGGCGAAGACGTCATTTTTGTGAGTTGAATAATAATAGTTATGTCATGATGTGTTATTGCTATTGAGTGCTAATATTATATTTATTGATATTGATACTATGATGTGAATGATGTGCCGTTTGCTAGTTGACGCAAACGTTGTGTTTATTGATGTTATAACAATATTATGTTTATTGATATTGATACTATGATATGAATGATGTGTCGTTTACTAGTTGACACAAACGTTATGTTTATTGATGTTATAATGGACATGTACCATGGTGTAAGCTATGGATGTTGTATATGCTATATGTGAAACATTCATGATATATGCAAGACTAAGAGGTTAAGGTTATGACTGGCTTGTCCAAGTTTCGTAAATACAAGTTTACAAGGACCCAACGGGTCAACTATAAGTTATAAAAGCTGGCCAGCAATACATGTGTACAAGTTTACAAGTTACAAGTACTCAGGGTGAAACTTGACATGTCCAAGTTATAACCGATAAGAAAAAGAAAAGCATGTAATCTTAGAGTCATATGAACTACCTGTATTGTTTATATATGATGATACTAGATGACGTGATTGCATGTTATGGTTTCAATGGATTATTGTTCTCTCATTGAGTAGCATCTCATTAAAAATGCAATTATCTTTTTAGATACTAAGAAGCGAAGTGAAAGTTAAAGTCATCTTTTGTTGTTCAATTCACGTCATGAGTGACGAAGTCGGCTGGCGATCTCCCTCTCCTCTCTCTCATTATGCCGAGCATATGCATCCTAAGAGATTTTTGAATTGTATATGTAACTATGTAAATATGAACTCCTGGAGGTGTTTTGAGACATGTTATGAACAAAGAAAAAGTGGTTTTGATTGAATATCCAAGGGTTATAAGTGGAAAGAATGTTGTTGATTAGGTTTTGAAGTGTTATGGCTGAAAAACCCTTGTTTTGAGCAGTAAATGTACACGGGAAGGTACACGCTTATGTGGAAGGCCGTGTAACCTTTTATTTTCAAAGGAAAATGAGTTTTAAGTTACACGGGCAAGTACACGACCGTGTTGGAGGCCGTGTAACCTCGCTACCCCAAAAAAAAAATCCTAATCTTTCTAATATGAGGTTTTAGCGAGTCCTAAGTGATATTTTGTGATTAATTGAGTTTTCTAGAACTAAAATGGCTAAGTTATACGAAGTTTTTGTAAGGAATTAGGTTAAGGAGGCTACAAAAGGAACCCCACAAGCGAAGAACACTCGCCATGAAATGAAGAATAGATGAACACCGCCTAGAATTTCCCGGAAAAATGCAGCAACTATTCCCCATAAAATCCTTCAATTTTCACCCCTTTTTATTGATTTTCACTCTATTTCAACCCGACTCTCTTCCCCCTTTCTTCCTCAAGATTTAAAACCTTTTATAGGCATGAATTTATTTAAATTTCTCTTAGAATCAACCAATCAAATCCCGAATTCATTGTCAAATCTCAAATTTGATATTTGATTAACTAAACACAAGCAAATGGATCAATGATTACATGATTCTTGATCGGTATCAATTCCGACCAAGAATCACTGGTCAATTCAAATTCAAAAACTTAATTGGTGGAAGATTTAGAAAGATTTTTGAAGGATTTTGGGGGATTACAGGTTGGCGTGGACGACAGTGTCGTCCACTTAATTTCAATCCTATCATTGGCCCTAAAATTTCATTTTAGTCCCTACCAATTTGCAATCGTGCCTTTTTCCTATGCAATGTCGAGCCTTCTAAAATCTAATTTTATCAATTGAGTTCCTATAGATTTTAAGTTCGACTTTTTCAATTGACACTATTATACCCTTAATTACTCACTTTTTTTTATTCAATTTTATCTCTTAATGCAAATTTTTTTTTGCATACATATATATATATATATTGTATTTTTATCGTTTTCTATTTTTTTAGATTTTTGTGCTAAATTCCAAAATCAAATCAAAATGAAATAAAATAAATAAATAAATAAATAAATAAAATATATGGAAAAATTTTGGGTTATAACAAAGTTAATGGTTAAGGTAACTAATCATTGTCTCTTTTCTACACATATAATGTTTTCTAGATCGAAGGTAACTAATCATTGGCTTATGTGTTTGTTCAATTGTTCTTAAACTCAAGTTAGTATGGTTTTTATAATTTCCATAGATAAATTTCCCTTATTGAATAGTTTCACAATTAAAATTTGCTTCATCTAACATTCATTCAATAATGGATGCTAGAGGCTTAATTGCATATCCATATGTGAAGAAAAAAATAAAATAGAAAGATAAGAACAATCACACAACACAAAATTATGTGATTTGATAATTCTACCAACTTTACGATCGCACTAGGATTTTTTATTATGTTTTATCAAATGACAACTACAAATACAAATAATGTTGTCTTTATTTATAGTGTGGACAACTAGGGTTATAAGAAAAAAAACCTAACGAGCCAATACACTTAACTCAATATTTTGTAAACCTTTTGAGTGCTCCACGCCAAGCCCTTACAAATAGCACTGCCCGCTTAACCCTTACTCGCTAACCGACTAGCGAGACCTTTGCGTACGTATCACTTTATAATACAAGTATCCATTTATATCAGTCTCCATAACTAACTTAACATCATCTTCCTTCATCCACAACTCATTCTAAAGATGAGTGGGAACAAGATCCCTCGTAGTCTTTACTGACATCTTTAATATTGTTATGCTACGACAATACTGGAAGAATGAGGGGGTAAACATGTGGAGAATTACCTGTTTTGTTAGAACCTATGAACTAGGTGGTAAGAATTTGCTGTCAGAATCTTCTCCGAAGGCAACCACGACTGACAATTAGAAATCAGATAAATGCTATCCAAACAACCATATTAGATGCTTGATAATAATGATGATTCATTAACTACATCACGGCCTCAACCTTCAATCACATTACAATCAGAACAATTCAATTTGTCATAGTTTAGAAGAAAAAAAGGAAAAAAATCACAAAATAAAACAGAAGAAAGAAGAAAGCAAGAAACTCTTCCCTTCAGAAATATCATACATCATGTTGGGAAAAGATTGAACGAGAAACCCAATGCATAATAATAACTCTTCATACATTTTCCTTCAATATCAAATTATAGATCTCAAAACACTATTAAAATATTCAAACAAATATAAATATTAGATGTTTACAACAACATTGATCCAACACTTCTGGCCAAAAAAGAATGCTGTATTTATCTCTCTCAAACTTTTAACTATAATATTGAATCACAAATAGTGAAATTGTAGAAAAAACGATCTATGCCTATGTTGTGGTTATAACCCAAATGACAAAAAGGGACAAATACCACCCCTCTTACTTCTAGCGCAGCCATATAGCTCGTTTCCTAGAGTCAGCAACAAAAGTTGTCCTGCAGTTCAGCAGCATGCGAAGGTATAATAAGCATCAAGATTCAAAACATTGGGGGAAACTAATAAACTAGCAAGCTACCTCAAATGATGACCAAAATAAAAATAATAAAACAAAAAGGAAAAGGAAGAAAGATGGTGATTTTCTACTAAGACATTATAGTTAATATGCAGCATGGGTATCGACTATCAGTTGCTTCCCTTTTGCATACTACAATGAAAAAAGAAACCTCTATCGATCAAAAGAATTACTGTAGCATAGTAGTTTTTTTGGCTTCAGCATAGAAGCCTAGATCTGAATATTCAAAGGAGTATATTTGACTAGCATGGAGAGAGAGATTGAATTACCGCAAAAAATATATCTTTTATTAGTTTGCATTTCCTCCATATAGGTTGTTTCCCTGCAAATTCCCTCCAAAAATCATTTCAGCAAAAGCGAATTGTAGAATTCTAGTTTTAAATAAGCAATGCGCAAAGAAAATAAGCAAAAAGATGAGGCCTCTGACAAGAATCAATAGACAGCAGCATCACCATATGATGAACATGATGTCAAGCGGGAGCACCCTAAGAGGGTGAAGTTTAGAACCACAATGTGTGGCTAACTTTACTGAAAAGTAATAATACCTCTATGACCAAAGTCTACCAAATAAAATCCCACTAAAAACAATGGCACCAAACCATTTGTTTGACACAAATCTGCAGCAAGAAAAGAAAAGCAATAAAAAATAAGGTGGTGTTAATATTACAAGCTTGAAAGTGGTTAAAAGAGAATAAATCAAAGCCCAAATAATGCTCTGCAAAATCATGAAACTCATTTCAAATCTTACGAGCTATACACGTACTTTTTATTGCAATCAGCTCGGCATGATAGGTTAACTGTCCATATTTGCCAAGCTAATTGTCCAAAAGCTGCTGCTAGAAATGCATAAAATGGCCACCCTGCTCGTGTTTTATAAGGGAAAAAAGAAGAAAACAAAGATTACCATGGGCAAAACTACAGTAAACGGATCATGTACATCGGGTGGATAAAAAGCAAATACCGATATCAGCATTAAATCCGCTGAGGGCAAGACTACTAATGCTTGCAGTTCCAAACCCAGTGATCCACTCCTTTGTTGAATCCCCGAATCTCAAAGCTGTAGATTTAACACCCACTTTAAGATCATCTTCCTTGTCCTGAACACATAAATATCAAAGTTGATTTCAGAATAGGACAAAAGTACAGATTCTGCAACTATGACTAAAACAAATTTAGTTACAACTTCATGAGAACTTGGGCAGCAGAACATCAGAATCTCTAAAGGTAATGACAAAAAAAGAAAGAATTGTGTTAATAATAATAATAATAATAAAAAGAAAGAGAGAGAGAGAGAGAGATCCGTCACCTAAACGATGACTGAAATGAATTGGCAAGATATCCAAATGCTGACAATTTTCAGTTGATAAAATATGCATTATTTGAAACAAAAGTAGTAGATAAAGTGCAAATTGTTTAAAGCAGAATAATCTGTGAAGGATAATATAAGCTGAAATGGTCAACCGATATACCTTGTGAATCAGAAACAGCATTTATTCAAAATAAGCCATCCAGTTGACAGAAACTATAGAAACAAGTGCGAGTTCAAATCTCCAAAATATGGTAGAATGACTTGAAAACGACTTGGTAAATTATAACAGTTTGTATAACTGCAGTAGCCCATTGTTGAAAGCTTTTTGCGCAAATAATGTACTAATACCTCTAGGAACTCCAGAAACCATGGGCAGAAAAAGAAGAGGTTTCACTTCACATAAGGAAAAGACATATGAGGGATAAAAGAGCCTTATTTTTACAGTTCAGGATCCATATATTACGTGGTTCTTATGAGTCAAATTTATTTGCATGAAAAAGCTGGAAAATATGAGCTAACGAAAATCACCTTAAGCTAAAACGTCGTAAGAGGTTTCACTTCACATAAGGAAAAGACATAAGAGGGATAAAAGAGCCTTATTTTTACAGTTCAGGATCCATATATTACGTGGTTCTTATGAGTCAAATTTATTTGCATGAAAAAGCTGGAAAATATGAGCCAATGAAAATCACCTTAAGCTAAAATGTCGTACCTGATGAGCATATATTGTATCATACACCAGGGTCCAAAATACTCCACTAGCATACAGTGGTACTGCAACAACTGGATCCAGACTCCCTTTAACTGCAGACCATCCCAGTAAAGCTCCCCAGTTAAATGTCAAACCAAGATAAGCTTGAGGCTGCTCCCAAAAATTTGCAGTAGACAGAGTTATTTCCCGATTTTCATGAACTTTGAATCAAATGTCAAAAAGCAACAAAAACTCATGCACTCATGAGAATAACAGAAAGCAAATAGATAACCATTGTTACCCAAAACGTAAATCTCTTCATAAGGGGATAGGAGAAGACTAGCAGCAAGGACGAAGCTCCCAAAATACAGCTGTTAGAAACAATTAAGCAACCGTTAATCCCAATAATTACATGAGCTCAATGCATGCTGCCAACATTGAATTTGAATCACTTGCAAAATACATGCAATTTTGAAGCATGATAGAAGCAGCACTAGCCTATAATTATTCAATTGAAGAAGAATCCCAAGACCCAAAAGCAATTGAAAACCAAGAAAAGAAAGCCCTTGAAATGGCGTCAAAAGACCACTCGCAACCGGCCTTAACTTTGTCCTTTCAACCTGCACACAACAATTCCAACAAAAAATTGATACTCTTTTTGAAAAGACAAAGCTCTTAATCTAATTTTGACCGCAAAATTTACAAACTTCAGAACATACACTAACAAGACAAGCACGTACAACTAACCTAAACATCATTTTCTATTACAAAACTCATTTAACAACATAGTAAGCCAGCATCATAAAAACCTTACCCTCGTATCAATATCTCTATCAAGCAAATCATTTATTGTACATCCAGCTCCTCTTAAAAGCAAAGCCCCACAACCAAACAAAGCCATCATATTAAAATCAGGTAGATTTCCAGGTTCTGCCGCCAGTGAAATTGACCTACATAACAATTAAAATTGTTGTAAGGCTCCAAATTTTTCGCAAAATTGTAAACTTTCCTTCATTTTTATCAACAACCAAACAAGACCCAGAAACATTAACACAACATAAACTCAAAGTCTTACCACATACAAGGCCAAGCAAGAAGCCAAGTCCCAATTGGCTTGTCAAGCCTAGCTAAATGTGCATAAGGCCTAACTTGTCTAGGCAAATACACATCAATCCATGACTTCTCTCCTCTCTTTGGCAACTCTCCATTGTTTTTCTCCTGTTTTTTCTCTTCTTTTGAGCTTGAAAAGGTGGAGATTTCCTTAACGAATATTAAACTAGGGTTTGGTAATTCATTTTGGCGGGAAAATGGGGTGAATTGAGAAAGTAAATAGTGTTGACAGATAAAAATAGGTTTAGGTTTAGGGTTTGATTTGGGGATTATTGTGGCGGTGGAGAGAGAGAGTGAAGAGAAGAGGAGCCTGGGGGTTCTGGTGGCGCTGCGGGAAGCGAAAGAGAGTAAAAACGACGTCATTTCGGAGAAGAGAGAGCATTGATGTTTTTTGAATCGGTTATTAGATATGGCGCAGAATTTGAGCTTGCTGTGCTACCTTCCCGCTTAGGGTCCCATCTGTGTCACCCAGAGGTCTGTGTTTGTAGACTTTTCAGCCCAACTCACGATGAGCCGGGCTTGAGTAAAATTGGTTTGGGCCTAATTCTCCTCGAGTCTGTAAATATAAACATGTGAATCTTATCATCAAAACCTTGAAATTTCCCTTTTTTAAAGACACTTAGGGAAGATTTTTAAACTCATGCAAGGAATTAGTTCATTACCATTAACATTAATACTAGACTAGGGACTTCTTCGGTGTTATATATATCACAATCTACACAACCCAACCATTATAACAAAAACTAAAATGAAAATATAATAACAAATTTGAGATTGTAATCACAATATATATATATATATATATATCTCGCAAGTACAACCCAACCATTATAATAAAAACTAAAATGAAAATATAATAACGAATTTGAGATTGTAATCAAGTATCATCGTTTGTTGGCTTTATATCATATTTATATTTATGATTATAAAGTTTCTAATCCTTTTCTAATTCGAGATTAAATGTCGAAATTAAAAATGTCAAAATAAAAATAACACTTAAGATTATTAAAAATAAAAATTTATTTTTATATTTTTTTGTTTTGTTTGGTGTGGTGCGGTACATGTCTCATTATAAGAAAATTGGAAAATAATGACAAATTTTTCTACCGCTATATCGTCATTTTCGTCGTTATTTAGCCTTAGCGATGGATTTGCGACAATATAATTTCAGTAGCAAATATAGTCGTCGCTATTTTCTTAGCGACAGATTTTTTCATCACCGATCGCCGACGAAAAACGTCACTCGTGCGTAGAATTTTCATTGCTAAATTGAAGTAGACATTTGTCTCACCGATCTACTATATGTCATAAAACCGTCGCTAATTGGTTTTAAAGAATTTGAGATTGTAATCACATAATATATATATATATATATATATATATATATATATATATATATATATATATATATATATATATATATATATATATATATATATATATATATATATATCACACAATCTGCGCAACCTGACCATTATAATAAAAACTAAAATGAAAATATAATAACGAATTTGAGATTGTAATCAAGTATCACTATATGTTAGTTTTATATCATATTTATATTCATGATCATAAAGTTTCTAGTCCTTTTCTAATTCGAGATAAAATGTCGAAATTAAAAATATCAAAATAAAAATAACACTTGATATTATTAAAAATATCATTATTTTCCAATTTTCTTATAGTGAGACATGTACCACACCAAACAAAACAAAACAATACAAAAATAACAAGTTATTTTTGTAGATTGTTTTGTTTTGCTTTGGTGTGGTTTTGTCTCACTATAAGAAAATTGGAAAATAATGATAGATTTTTCCGTCACTATATCGTCATTTTCCATCGTTATTTAGCCTTAGCAATGGATTTGCGACAATATAATTTCAGTAGCAAATATATTCGTTGCTATTTTCTTAGTGATAGATTTTTTTATCACCGATCAACGACGACTAACCATCACTCATACGTAGAATTTTCATTGCTAAATTAAATAAACAATCATCTCACCGATCTGCTATATGTCATAAAAACGTTGCTAATTGGTTATTTTTATCGCCAAATATTGATGGAATTGTCGTCGCTAAATTATACTCATTAAAACTTCTCACAAATCTGTCCCTATTTAGCGATCGTATATGTGTCTATTGCAAAGAGACTTGATTTTTGTTGCTAATTTGTTGCTAAACGGAGATTTTTTATATATATATATAAATTAATAGTTGTTTAATGCTAATGGTAGTAATAAATGGCTAAAAATAGCACCTTATTAAAATATAAAATTTTATTTAATAAAAATTAAATAATATAAATTGAAATCAAATAAATATATAATGCGTTAAAGTGTACAAAAACATTAAATTTTTTTTTTTTTTAAATCTAGTTCTCATCATCATAATCTCCTACATCATCTTTTTATTGTGGGATATTGAGAGAAACGATAGACTCTCGGGTTGTATGAGGGGAGAAGGGGTTAGCGAGGGGAGGTGAGTCCGTTGTAGGTCCTATAAGATCCTCATCGCTAACCGCATCCGACTTTGTAGATTGTTGAATTGACCAACATATTCCTAAATTGTAAGCTCCATCCCTCGATCATATCTTCGTACCGGGTAGAAACCTCCCGAATATTACCACCAACATACTACAAAGTGGAAGAGTTCTAGAATGAGAGTAAAACTAAGACGCTTGTGATTTGAGGTCGTACACTCTTTACTTTTCTCTTTCTATACTATCCAAGTATAACTTAGTCATGTCGATGTTTAGAAACAATGAATCACATTCTTGTCGCTCCTTAGTAGCTACTTTTTGCATTAACTACAAATGCTTTTACGTCACTAAAATAATTGTATTATCAAATTCTAAATATATTTTTAGATTATATTGATAGATGTATATTTATAAGAATAAAAAACTTACCATTATTGTCTTAAATCGTTTATCAATGAATAACCCATCTTTCCACTTATGAGTGGTCACAAATAACTTGTAAGGATTTGGATTATGACCTAATTTATTATACTAAAAAGAATAAACAAATTAATATGAGATGTAATAAATAAAAATTTTTAATTTATAACATAATGGATAATAGGATTTACCAAACGTTCTAAACGTTCGGCGTGCTCAATCAAAGAGATGGATCCCTTCATATGCATAGATAGGCCAATACCGATACCGGACATTTGCTAAGATCAAGCTTGATACTTAAGTGTGGCTCAATTGTAATATCCTCGACCTAAAATCCTCCCTAAATGTAAATATGTTATAAGGATGTTTTGTTTAATTAATAAACGAACATTTAGATAAAGTGGGGAATGAAAGTTTATATTTGTATTAAGAATAAATTAAATACAAGTATGATTATTATGAAAGGTGAATGAATTAATTAAGGTTGGATTAGAGTTTATAATATTAATTGATATAGTTATGTGTTAAACTAGGGGTGAAATTATAAAACCATAGGGATGTAATTGAAATAATTAAAATTCTAGATTCTTAAATAAAATAATTAAGAAACTTTAAGGAACATAATCACTTTAGAAATGGTCTAGATTATGGAAAATTATGAAGTTATGGACTGAAATTGGAGGAGCCGATTGCATAAAAGTTTAGGGACTAAATTGTAAAATATAAGTGATTTGAGGGATTAATTAATTCGTTTTGGGAGGTTAATTCTAGCATGAATAATCTGGAAAAATGAAGGTAAAAGAGGGCTGGTTAGGTCAGCAAAAGGGAGGAGAAAGAAGAGGAAAATATCTAGAGAAAAATCAAACAAAAATCTAAGGAAAAAGGAGGAGGAAAAGAGAAAAATGAAGATAGACCTAGAGAAGCCATTAATTTCCATGGTTTAAGTCAAATCAAGTGTGATACACTTAGCTTAATCTTAAGAAAAAACCTTGGCTATAAATATGGAAGAAGATGGAAGAGTGGTTAAAACTTTAGAAGTTCAAGGTTATACTAAAGAGAGAGTAAGCAAAACCGAGTGGAAAATCACCAAACCAAGCACTCTAAACCACATTAGACATCCTTGAAACACCTAAAACCACGCTAGAATTGGTTTAGAAGATCAAGAATAGGAGGAGGAAAATTCTTCATTTAGGTAGAAAGTTAGAGGAGGAAGGAGGAGGAAGAAATTTAAGTCAACTAGGTGAGGAATTGATCAAACTTCGAGCGAGGTAAGTGTTATCCTCACTACACCATAAGAAACCTACGTTATAATATTCAATTAATGTTTAATTATTATTTAAATAAGTAAGGTTTTATGGTTTTAATGTTGGAGTTATGGTGTTGTTGTTGGAATTGGATGATTTTGATCTTATATTTATGTTTCGGTGTTGGAAATGTTATGTTTGGTTGGTTGGTTAAAAAGGAAATATGGATTTGGTGGTGTTCATATTTTTTTAAAAAATGGCTTAAACCCTAGATTATGAGGAAATTTTTTGGTTTAGGTAGTTAATGTATATAAAGTGTTTGATGAAATGAATTAAGTGTGTTTTACGGTGTTGAATTGAAAAATTAAAGTTTGGCCACTTAGTTGAATGTTTCGACCTAAAGTGAGAGTTTAGGCTAATTGTTCTAATGAACTTAATTAATGTATAAATGATGAAAAAAAGTTTGATTAATGGGTCAAATATGAAAATTTGAGATAAGATGATTAAATGGAATGAAACTAGAAGACATGACTCATGACAAACTCTTTTACATGGATTCGAACACCGGTCACTTTAACACCAAAGCTCATCATGACATAATCAAAGTCGTTATCCCAAAGTTTGAATGGTGGAAGCCACTATGGAATAAGTGGATACCAAGGAAAATTAGGATTTTTGTGTGGAAGCTTCTAAAAAATGTAGTAGTAGTAGAAGTAAGTATGAAGTGATGTGGTGTAACTCTAGTTTCCAAATGCCGATCTTTGCATGGCTATGAAGGAGGAAACTATAAACCATCTTTTTTATATATAGGGAGACTACCGAGTAACCTTTGGAATTATTTTATAGCACTATTGGATGTAAATATAGAAGCTTAAAATATCCATCAACTTCTCTTGGCTTGGTTCCCTTTAGGTACCATCTCTTCACGAAATAGTTCTCTCGAGTTATTGTTTGTAACTATATTTTATGGGAAATTTAGCAAGCAAGAAATAACTCATTCTTTGAAGATGAGAGAATGTGTGTGATTCACATTAAATACAAAGTTCTTGAATGGCTATATGATCTCACTCGGTTATTCTATCCAAAGAAAGAGGCTTCCTTTCATGACACTATTTGCTTTGGCTCTTTGGGTATATATACTCAACATGTTTCGGTGGTTAGAGGAAACTCGGATCAAATGGTTGCTACCTCTTTTAGGCAAATATAAGCTAAACA